TTAATTGGTCTACAGAAATTCTATTTTTCTGCAATATATTTTTGTTCTCTTTAAGTTCTATTTGTCTATGTTTAATAATTTCCAACATTTCATCAGACTGTTTTTTAGAAGAATTAGAATTTTAGATTTTGCTTAAAAAAATACAAGTTTATCATACCAAATTGAAATCAACCTGTTTATATGGTATTGAAACTTTTGGTAAAATTACTTGACCGATTTCCTGTAAATTGTTTAATAGTTGTGGGTCTTTACCATCTTCTTCAATGGCTAACAATCAAGTAAATTGAAAAAAGAGACAAATTAAAATAATAATGATAATAGTAATGACAATAATAATGATAATAAATGCGAATAATTTACCGTTATTACGGGTTGCACTTGCTATAATTTTTTGAGAAGAAATTGTAACATCGTCTAATGTATCTTGGTTTTGAATTTTAGCATGCGTTTCAGCCGCACTAGATTTAACTTCCGAAGTAACTTGTTGTGGAAATTTTCTTTGGATTTGTTTCGAACTTTGAGCACCCATTATATCTAAAGTTCAGATAACGATAAAGATTATTATTTGTAATACGCACTATTTTTATAAACACCCAATTTAGATAAATGAATGTTACGTCATAAATCTTTTCCTATTGGACATAGAGTATACACGTGGACAAAAGCTAAAGGAAATTTTATTCAATTGTGCAAATAAACAAGTTTTGCGCCTGCCTATGCGCTGGGAGTTTTTTTAGCTGCTCTAGTGTCGTTAAACAAATCTTTAGATCAGGTGTAACAAAACTTTCAATGCGTTAAAGAGGTTGATCCGCGAATTTTTGGCATATGAAGTTCTTTCTAACTTAATATAATAGTGAATCCTGTTCTTAATTTAACATTAAAATTGTTTTTGTGAAAATTCTGAATAGAGATCTCAGAAATTTCAAATAGTAAAAGGAGCGCAATGGGAAATGCAAATAGGGTTCATTTAGTTTGATTATTTCATTTCTATCCTTTAGTTCAGAAATAACTTATTAGAAATTAGATTTATTATGAACATGTACAAAAAATTGCTTAAATAAATTACTAGCGTAATTCTTCATGTAGTGATGAATAATTTGAGTTTATCACGATTCGAATTATGATGAGATTAGCGAGCTGGGAAAAATATCCAGAAAATCGTCCAACTGTAGAAGAAATTTATGATATTTTTCAAGATGGAAGGATGACGAAAAAATATTATTGGAATTATCTGAATCAGAAAATGCATTAAAAGAAATTTTTAATGTACATAACTTAACATACATTGAATCGAATTGTAGAAGTAACTCTTATTACTCTACAAATCAGATTCTCGGGATTATTGAGACATTAAAATAATAATGTTTGAGTCCCGATAGTTCGGTTATCCAAACCTCTAAGTAACATTAATTAAAACTGGATTTTACACAGAACTTTATTAGCAATGTAAATAAAAACTTACTGGCGAAAAATAGCTATAAAATTTTTTATTGTTTATAAAGAAGCAAGTTGTGCACTGGTCGATGTGTTGGGAGTTTTTTAATTTAGCGATGTCATTTTAAAGTATTTACTATTTAGGTAAGTTTGGGATCGGTTATAGTATTTAGTATTTGAAGGTTAATTCTGTTTTGGTGAGTTTTTAAAGGTTTTTGTGTTGTTTTTTAATGTTGGGTTAAAATTTTGGTTATAGTGTTTTAATGGAATTTTTGAGTTTCAGTATTAGTATGTGTGTGAAGAGGATAAAATAGTATATTGAGGAGAATAAAGATTTTTGAGTAGTATCGAGTTAGGTAATTTTGGTGCTGTTGTTTATATCTTGCTTTTTTTTGTTTTAATTTGATTTTTTTTTTCTTGTAATCTCTTTTGTCTACATATGAGAGAAATAGTGTTTGTAATAAATAGTATTTTTAGTTGTAGGTGATGAGTAAGTTAAGACTATTTAAATAGTTGTTGCATTGTTGCGGTAATTGATTAAAGTCGATTAGGGGTTGTCACTTACTGGCGATTTGAAAGATAGCATGGTATGAGGATTATATTGTTACGTAATTTATAATTTACATGGTTAGTGTGTTGGGTTTTTGATGATGCGTGTGTACTTTGTGTTTTCTAGTTATTTCTCTGTGCTTTGATTGTATAGTGTGTGTATGAGCTTATTTATTATATGTTTTTGTCTTTTTGAAAATGAAAGATTGTTGAGTGTGTGTTATTAGGTTTGAGGTTGATTTGCTCAATAAAGACTTAAATTTTCGCTTATCTGTTTTAGTTTTGTAGGTTTTATTTGTTGATTTGATTAAGAAATCTGACTAGTTTGTTTTACAATTTAAATAATAAATAATTGTGTAAAGATTAAGAATTGTATTGAAGTTTTTGTGGTTTTTAGTTCTTGTTATGTGATTGTTTGGTGTTTTTGTTATAGTTGGCATTGATGTAATTGTGAAATAATTAGTATAATTAATTGATAATTCTACAGTGAACTGAAAGAATAATTATAGTGAATCATAATGTGGTTCTATATATAAATCACTATAGATGCAAAAGAAAAAATTTTCTAGTGATTGTATATGAAAATTTTTTTTGTACTAAGTTAATCACCTTTAAGTCTCTAGGTAAAGTTGTAAAGCTTATTAAGACAAATTTAATAGTAGTTAGATTATTCAAATTAGCATAGTGTATGCTAAAATATCTTTGAAAAATATTTTGCTGACTAGATAAAAATTCTTTGAATTGTTTTTAAAGAATTTTATATAGTTGATAAAATATTTTTCAAAGATATCTTGGTATTCACTAGGCTGATTTGAATAATCTAACTACTATTAGATTTGTTTTAATGAGCTTTACAACTTTATTTAAAAACTCAAAGATAATTAACTTAGTATAAAAAAGTTTTTTCTTAAACAATTATTAAAAAAATTTTTTTTATATCTATAGTGATTTATATATAAAACTATCATATTTTATTATAATTATTCTTTAGTTCATTAGAGAATTATTAATTAATATTATTTTGAGTTGAATTAATATAAAAGTAGCTTTTTTTTTATATTTTAGGTTGGTGTTTATATAGGCAGTAATATATATTTTGACTGTCTTGCTACTTTTTTTGAAAATGTCTAAGATCTGAAATATTAATTTTAGCTTTAACTATTTAAAATATTTTTATAAAAAATATATGA